AATTTTGATGTTTTGTTTTTGCAAAAGATACTGGTTGGTGTTTTCTTTTCTTCCAGAGCATATGGGGGAATGTGCAGAAGGGATTCAGATACTCAAATATGGACAATAAGAATGGACTGGCGAATTCTGAACAAGGATATGGTGATAAAATGTTCAGATTCGACACATCATCGACACTACACTGAAAGTCGACACTGCTGAGGAGCTGCAGTGTGATACATTCTTATGTCTTCTCTGATATATACATATTTCCATGAGTAAAACTTAATTTGTATCATATTATTTTTGTATTAACTGTTTGGAGAATGATGTTTTCTGTTATCAGGTAAATATATGGGGACCTCAGATGTTTTTCTTTTTGTGTTGATGCTTAGGGATATTGGGGTCTAGGCAGGGACAGTTCCATTGGAAGGTACGATGGGTCGACCAGCCTGACTTTGGACATTGTTTTGATTTTATTTCCTGAGGTTTTCACATGTATTTGCTTAAACCATATATCTAAATAAATTGTTAAGATTGTTCTTTTTAATTGATCTGGAGTACTATGTGTGGTCGCCTGAGGCAGAGGGGCCGTGAGAGAATTTTCCTGTCTAGATTGTTTGATGGATACTTTGGAAAGAAAGCTGCCGGATAGGTTTTTCACTCTCGCACTCCATAAAGTTGCTGTATTGTTAAGGTTATGCTGCAAGAAGCATGTATAGGAGGAATTGTTATTTTTTGTCATAATTTTAAACATGTATGTTTTACTCTTTTGTTTTTTGAGACTCTGCGTAGTCTCGAAGGGGGGAAATATGTGGTATCCGAAGGCCTATAAATTTAAGTTACAGTTTGTTATAAGTTCAAGTGATATTTTTGTCAACATATGCAGTGTTAGTAAGACATGAGGTTCAATGTCGTAATTCTTACTATGAAATGTTTAGGCTAGGGGCCTCTCAATGGCCTCTGACCTTTATCTTAATAAATCCCCCATCTCCCCGTTTTACCTCACATATCTGTATTAGAACCAGATGCTTCTTTACTATTTTCTTGAATAAACAATAGACCTATATAAAGCCTATGTTTGACCCATATAGACAGAGTTGTTCATTTGGCAGGATGCTCTCCAAGCTCCCGGGGCTTGAAATGATGCTGTACCTTTTTGTAATAAACCTTTATATACAATCAAGATGGTGTCAGCGGACTTCTCTTCAACACATCTTCACATCATCGCTACCTAATATACAACAAAGGCTTATAATCTAATAGTATGAATTCAAAAGTTATTAAATAATGGTCAGATAGGAAAGGATTATGTGGGAAGACTATTAAATGTTCAATATCAATGCCATATGATAGAACAAGGTCAAGAGTGTGATTAAAACAATGAGTTGGTTTATTTACACTCTGACAGAAGCCAATTGAGTCTATTAATGATATAAATGCATTACTAAGGCTGTCATTGTTAACATCCACATGAATATTAAAATCACCCACAATAATTACTTTATCTGATTTCATGTGATAATCTGATATCAGTGCCCTGTAGACAATTACTTTGACATAAACTTTCAGATTTGTCATGTGAAGCCTTATGTTATGACAAAGGAGGACAAGGTCAACTGTATAACATTGTTGAGGATCTATTGTCAGAAATAGAATATAATATTCATACGTATGTTTTCATTAGTGTATAATCACCTGAAAATAAGAATTGTTGTGTTTTTGTTACCTTAGAATGAGACATTTTTATATACAGATAAACCAAACACTGGCTCCAAATATAGCATATATTATACGCGTCTTGTGGCCACTGGAGTTTCTTCTTTGCATCTGAAAGGGAAAGGTGAAGCGCAGATACTAAGATTTCACAAAATATGTAGTCGAAAAGAAGACTTCAAACAGGCCAGTAAGATTATGTTTTTGCCCTCAACCACTAGAGGGTACTCTAGGTTCTTCCTTAGTAAGTCCTTCAAAACATTGCAACATCTGGCCCTTAACTATTATCAGTCATATTATCCTTTGTCACTACATAGGCCGTCTCCCTCAGCTGTAAAACTAGTCGGAGTGACCAAAAACAATTTTCTGAATGTTATAGGAGGAACTGAGACCCTATGGTCATTGTAGCTTTAAAATAAAACAGGAACCTGCTGGACCACCTGGTCAACGCCAAGGTCAAATCACTGTTAACCCCAAAAGGTCATCGGGAATTTTTCAAGCACCATACCCTGTTGCACAGCTTTGCACAGCTTGTTTTTTAAAACAAATGACTGCGGGAGACCTAATTCCAAAAAAATCACAGTTCACATCACAATCCACATTGACTGAATTCTGTTCAATTCAATCTTTTTTTATTTCCTTACCTGGTGGAAAAGGCAGACAGCTTGAGATACCTGCATCACAGAGGATTTATAATGGTATTCTCATGTTGATGCTTTGATGAAGAAAGCCTGTCTCTAATTCTGACTTCAGGAGCAAGAAGGACTTTCCATACCTGCACCATGGAGAACATCCTGACATGCAGTACCTCTGCCTTGTTGTGGAACGGCACCAATGGCACCTACCTAGCCCTGCAGAGGGTTGCGCAGTCAGGTGAACAGACCGTGAGATGTCAACTCTTAGCCCACAAGACATTTATTTAAAAGACACATGACTGGATTTAAAGGGAAGTGAAAGTGAAGTTTTATTATGCCATTAATATCAATCAAGTACCTTGCCACTCACTAATGAATACATAACAGGATGGTTTTCACAGTAATTTGATGCAGTTACATTTGATGATCAGATTTTGGGCATGATGTGTTTTTCTTTTCTGACAATGAAAAAAAGCAGACCATGCTGAACATTGTGGTGGAATAGTGCTGGAAACCAGGACCAAACACAAATAGTACATTTTTGACAAAAATCTGTGGAGAGAGTTTACAGGCACATTTAAAGATGTCGTCAGTGTTCTAGTTCAGTCAGCATGTAGTGCTTGGATCTTTAGAACAAAGTACCTCAATCTGGTGATCTGGGATTCTCCATACTTACACACTCTATAAATCATGCGTCTTGTGACTATGCTTCTGATGTCTAGGGTTTGTTGTAATATTATGCATGACAGAGCTATTCGATCTTTTTTGGGAGTCCACATTTACTTCAACTCATGCAGATATGTGATGGGAACCTCTGAACATCAAATGCTTTGGCTTTGTAATAGGCTTGTGAGGATGTCACACTAAAAATATATTTATTTGGAACATTTTGCATGGTTAATGAGTTGAAATCCTTATGTTATTTGAACAATTTGTCCATCATTTTCCAAAAGAGGTTACAAAATAGTTTTCCCACTGGGGAGTAATAAAGTAAAATAAATGTTATGCATATGGAACAATATAGGCTGCGTGCTGCCAACAAGTAGCTTCCAGGACATCATAATAGAAGATGTTTTGTACATTTATGTACAATAAGAAATATTGCTTACTTCTGTAATTTTCATCTGCAAATACTAAGGCGTATTGGTTACTATGCTGAAGGTATGTGCACCAGGACTTACCGTATTGTGAGAATAAAGTGCATTCTGGCAAAAAGCTCTTAGGATGTCAGGTAACATAGTGTAAAAAGCAACAAAGTTCTTAGATTAGCAAGGAGATGTAGTGGATGATCACCTGGTTAGACTGCATGGTGACACCTATGCAGGCAGCGAGGAGTCTGTGGGTGCTAATACAGCTAAGACAATAACATGTAAGATTCAGACACAACTTAGCTCCAACTATGCAAGGTCTAAGGTAATCACGGCAGACACAATGCCATGTAATTATGAAATGATACATTTGTCTTCCATTTTTACCCATGCCACAAAGAAAGAAAATACTTGGGATTCCCTTGTATTTTATGAAATATAGAATTGGCTAATTTACAATAGAAAATAAATGTCTACATTAAAAAAAAATTATGAACTGTATCAGATCGTATTGCATCGTATCTCACCTAATTATTCCTTATCAAAATGCATCAACCCTGAATTGTATTTTTGCCGATGTACTGCACTAGTGTTCGGTCATGTTCTCTATGTAGGTCTCTATGTTCTCTATGTAGGCCGCAATAATAGATGCCTGAGAAAATAAAGACTGGAATGTCCCCGGAAGCTATTGTAGTCTTGCTAGCTAAATTTGCGGTGCTGCTCATTGTTCTAGTGAAATGATGCAATGGTGTTTTGGTGACGTTGTTTTGCACTATAACTATTATAAAGGACTTATAAAGGACTTTGAATAATGGGATTAATATACATGACTTTGACATACTTCTTCTTCATTCTTATAAATAATAGGAGACACTATCGGCTTCTCATTTGTTTAATTAATACATCATGACTGAAGTGTCACTGTTGAAATATAAAGTAAATAAACAGTTAATTTCACTTTAGTCGTATAATACCTCAACCACACAAAAATACAGTATGCTATTCCATAAAGAAAGTCAGAAAATGTTTTACCTAGACTCTCCTCTGGTGCTGGGATTGCAGGGTGTGTTCTACCGTAGTTCAAGCACTTACAAACACTTTCTATAATAGCTCATAACAGATTTGATGCTGATATTTAGAAGACTGACTCCACAACTGCTACTACTCCCCAGTCTTCTGCCTTGATGAATCACCAAGGTGCATGTAATGAAAAATAACACATAAATTCTTCAAAGCTCGAAGTGATCAGATTCAATTCTGTTTCCTCTTAGTACTTAAAGAACAATTTCACCTTGCTTATCTAAAAGTTGACCTGCTGCAACCTATGGGGTTTTAAAATCCGTGGAAGTGCATCTAAAGGTGATACAGTTCTGTGAACCTTTTTTTCAGAGGTAGACACAGGAAAGGACAGCTAAAAATGGGATAATTTCAGTGTGGCAGAGGTCACAGGCAGTGACTGTGAAACTGATCCCTCTTCTTTCCATCTTGGTAAAAGCCACAGATATTAGATGTGAAAGATGAAGGTACATGAGACCCAAAACCACATCAATGACCTTGAAATCCACTACCACAAACTCAGAAATAGCACTTCATTTGGCGATCTTTATTTCCAAAAGGCAATCACTACATTCAATGTAATGGTTGCACATGAGATACTGTGAGCAAAGTACAGAGCACGTGCTACCTGCCCATCTTAACACAGGCAGTTAAAAAAAAAAAACATGGCAAGCATCATCCTCTGAAGCATGTTGTGTTATACAATCAACACCATATACATCATAATATAGTTTTGCAATATAGCATGCCTTTTTTGTTCCATGTATTTGTTTTCTTTTTAAGCTTTGACATTGTTGTACTTTGAAGCATTTTAAAACACGTGTAGTCCTTGCTGCATTCACACTAGCCTAAAGCTTCACTTAGCAATGTGAACAGTAGGATCAGATAGTGTGCATACACAGATAGTGAGTACATTAACATGAGACTGAGAAGTGTACGTGAAAATGACAATGTGAGCATCATAATATCACTGTAATAGAATCAGTGGCACAGTTAACATTTTTAATGCATGTGGTGTCATTTCCCTCAATACATTGTACTCTGTGGGAATAAATTTCAGGCAGCCACCACCTTGACTAAAAGCTGCAGCTGATGCAGGTCTCCAACTACATAGAATTCCATTTAAAAAATCCCAACCTTTCTGCTGGAATAATTTGTTTCTCACATCAAGTTTGGTTTTCAAGAGCTAATTTCCCTTCTTCTGTACATCATCACGGTGAATTTAAGAATCTGTCAGAGGTATTAAGGCTTCAAGAGAAGTATGTGTTAGAGCATGTTTGCTTGGTTGACAGGTCAGCTGTGATGGTTGCCCCGCTCTTGTCCCAACTAAGGTCCATCCAGGCATCTTGTTCAAATTGGGATTTTCCAGGTTGTAGATGACGGGTAAACCCAAACCCAAGCACAAAATAAGGTCCTTTCAGGAACATTCAAGTTTCAGTTTTTTCAACAAGGGATATGCTTGAGGATATGCTTGAGCCAAGTACAACAAGTATACAACACACTCTCACACAGTAACAGCGGTGTGCGTTATAATCTCAAACCATCAATCATTCACTGGTGTTCCGTGTACAGTACGGTACAGACCCTCCGCTTTCTTTATGGCTTATCTTCCGTTCTGTTGTCATTAATTTTCATAACACACAGGTGCAGTCATTATTTCCTCATCTTCTCAAAGTGCAGCACTCAAACTACAATGTCAACAACAAACATTAGGACAACAAGCCCTGAGATAGTGTTCAAAGAGGTCATGATCTAGGTAGTATTTTTGGGCATTGTACTGACACAGCAGCTCAGCTCAGGAACCATGCACAGACAACATATGGGATGTTTTCATTCACATTTAAATGCACATTTTAAGTTTCAATAGGCAACATGAAAAACAGCAATAAACACATAGTGGATGTGGTACATTTAAGTCAAGCTTCTCTCATGTGTTCCACAGCAGCTTTTTTTGGATTCTTTTTTGTTCCTCATTATTTTTGTGTAACACTTATGTTATGTCACAGCACCACGTTAGAGGTCCATGTGCACATGTCAGACCTTATTTTAAAATACTTCCAATCATTTCTTTGGCGGCCATTACATGTTTTTATTCATTTCATGTAATTTCTCAGATTTCTGTTATTTTTTACTCTGCATTGTTGGCTTTTAGCTCACCCTCAATCTCAAACTTTCCTAACAGCTTGTACAGCTAACACATGTTCTATGCTCAAGGATAATTACAGATCTATTGTAAGACAAAGTTGTTATAAATCTTAAAAATAACATAGTTTTGGTCATCATTTTATCAGTGATGATTACATTGCACTCACTGGTTAAAGCTGCAGTAGGTAACTTTTATTAAAATAACCCTCTGTCATACTTACTAAAGCTGTTACTATATCCTGACAGCAGGATGCGTCAAATACCGAGCTTCATGCCACCAACCCAAAGCACTGTTATTTGACAACCTGGGAATAAGACTAAAAAATCAACTGTCTTTCTAAATTCTGATTGTTTTTTTTTTTTTTTTTACACACTCATCAAGGTGTGTTAAGGGCCACATTAACCTCAATATGTCATTGCTATGCAGATGTAAACAGTACATTTTGTGCTGAAGGTTGTTGGTTCGAAACCGGGCTCCTCCCGCCATGTGTCAAAGTATCCTTGAGCAAGATACTGAACCCCAAATTGCTCCCAATGCTGTGTATTGGTGTGTGAATGTGTATGAGTACAGGTCCATTTACCATTTGTGTGTTAGAGATCTGTGCAGGATGTGCAGAGGATACAGAACTGAGCCAAGCTCTTAAGAGCCTTGTGCAGTTGTGTTCTTTGTTGCTGGTTGATATGTATGCTAATATGAAGCATGAGGTATTCAGTGAACACCACACATCCAGTGAGGTCAGAGGTGGCAAAAGCACACACATTCTTTTCTAAAGAAGAAGTACAGATACTTGTGTACAAAACTACTCCGGTAAAAGTAGAAGTACTGATTCAACTTCTTTAATCAAGTAAAAGTGAAATAGTAGAGGCTGTGAAATTGTTTAAAGTATACTAAGTATAAGTAGAAAGTGCTCTTTTGGTTTCTGTGAAGAGGCGTTTCTACCAGCTGTGCTAAGCTAACTGATACTTCAAATAGGGTTGAGTCCCTCCCTCATCTATTTCATCTTGTTACATTGTTTTTGTCACGTAACGTCTGTCATTTGTGATATGCACTGGTCTTGATTATGCAATAATGCAAAAAATAAAAAGCCTATTTTAAAAAAATCTAAGGATTAGAAAGCACAAACATCTGTAAAAATGTAGGGGATAAAAGTAAAAAGTTTTCAAGTAAATAACAGATACCCGAAAAAGTTAATTACAGTAACAAAGTATTTGTACTTCTTACTTTCCACCTCTGAATATGGTTTGGAGCTGGCAAAAGTGAATATTGAGTGAACAAATACTGAGGAAAATCTTCTTTCCTCCCTGTGCATCAAGGAGATTATACCCCTCAATCTAAGAAACTTCAGTTGAGTACAATGTTATCATAACTCAGAGAAATAATGGCCAAAGCTGTGAAAGAGCCTTCATTTAAACACCAATATGACCATCATTTGACATAACACAACAGCAGAAACCCTACATCTATACAACACAATGTATGTCAGTCAGATCCATAGGGCACATTGAGTATGTGACAGTTACAGTAGGACATATGTTGTCCCTTCTTAAGCACAGGAATAGGAGAGACCTAAGGCACCAATGGTAGCATTTAAAACCTCCTTCTGTAGGACAACACACTGTCTATGGGTCCATCTGAATATGCAGCTCTTTTGTTTTAAGTATTTTTTCACTCTCATTTTCTTTTGATTGATCTGGAATAAACCCATTCTCGGGCTTGCAAGCTTCCACAAACAGTGGAAAATCAGACAAGCTAGTGTTACACTCCTTGTCTTCATTCTCATCCTCTCCATTGTCCTTCCTTTTACCTTCATCTGCTGTGAGTGTGCTACAGTCGAAAGTGGGTGTGCTGCAGCCGTAGGCCTCGCTGTGAGGCCGGCGAGCCTCATCTGGGATGTTTTTCTTTAGGTCTCGATTCCTGTTGCGCTTAGCCAGTTTAGTGACAGAGCCCAGGCGGTTGAAAATGTTGTCCTCTGACGTAGTCTGGTGGTTGGAGCGCCTGTCGCACTGCTCGGCCCCCCGAATCCGAAGGTTGTTCAGCTTGGTGTCAATGCTCTCCTGGGAGGAGGTCTTATAACTGTTGGTGTCCAGGCTGTTGAAGATGGCACGGCGCTCTGGGGAAAGCATGTCCAAGGACACAGCGCGCTGGTCCAAGCCCAGCTGTCGTCTCTCCATGCTTCGGATTGTGGCGGCCCGCTGCAGCTTGTCATGGACCTCAACACTCATACGCCGGCGCGTCTCCCGGAACTCTGCTCGCACGTTTGCTTTCCACTCCGCTGCATGAGCTTTGATCTCTCCAACCTTGGCCAAAGTTATTACAAGTCAGTACATCTGTTCAAAAATAATGCTGCAGGACAATAAGGTCATTTTCAAGATAAATGAAGTAATCTATGAAATGGGAAAAAAAAAAAAACTTCTCAGTCTGTCACACATATCAGTGGTTCCCATCAAGGATGAGATGATTAAAAGCATAGGAAACAAACTATGTTTCTGCAACACAAATACATTTTTAATATCTTTTTTTAGTATCAACAGTGCCTGAATTGGACTAAAAAATGTGTCAGTACCATAATTCAGCACAACCCTAACCCTAATTATTTTGGTGTTTTTATTTCCTTTATTACACATTTTCTGTGCTGTTTTCTTAGCATTAAGCTAGCTACGTGTTTACATAGAGTTGCTTAGAAGTACTTCACCAACATTGCTGTACACAGGATTTTTGGGTCATGCAGCAGAGAAGTAAAGTTATTTTTAGACATTTATTTCATGACTCTATTGTGTACCCCTTGAGAAAAATACTGGTACCATCAGTTGTGGGTATGCAATACTAAGTAATGGTACTCACGTGGACAAAAATCAGAAGTAACGCTACTCACTATTCATTCAAACTTGAAAAAGTGACCCAAATCTGTTAGTTGTGCAACTATAGTCATTGATGAGATCAATCAATTCCAGCTTTTGTAATGGATTAATTAATTAATTCTATTCATTTACCAAGCAGAATGTCTCAGGTAGAGTTGCTTTCTTCTCTGCTTCTTATCATTTACTGGCTACTTTTAGGCATTTGGCTGTTGGTTCAGACAAATAAAGCACTTTTAAGTCATTATCCAGCAAACACATAATTTTTCTAACCATATCTATCTAAAATTCAAGGTTCAAAGTGAAGAGTGCAGATTTTGTTGTCTGCTCGCAGTAAACCATATGAAATGGTGAATTTTCATAAATACAAATGATCCCGCGGGTAAACTCACTTGAGTAACGCAAGGTGAAAATTCGCTTTGCGCTTGGTGGGAACACACCATGAGAAGATAATTGTCTGCTGATAGGACTGTATGGAGTCATTCTTCCTTTGTAGATGAAAGGCTCGTCTGCAGCTTTTTGTTGGCAGCTTGAGATGGCAGGAAGGGTGACTAATATAATTGCATTCAATTAGCAATGCATTCTGCAATTACACCTGCACTAGCAAGTTGTTCTTCTCATCCAGACAAAATATCTAAATACAAATCAGATTGCATATTAATACCAGATGGAGGCGGCAATTGAGTGCGAAGTGATAACTTGTTGATTAGGATATATTATATATATATATATATATATTATTATATATATTTTATTCTGCCTCATTGCCTCCTAAATGTTTTAAATCCTTTTTTTCTGTGCTGTATAAATAAAGTTTATTATTCTTATAATAAGATAGGATAGGATGTCACAGATTCTGACATTAAGAGTCTATGATTAATATTATTGATTGTAGCCCTACCTTGGTTAGGAATATAACATGAGTATTAACATCATCATCATATCAGTATTAATTATTTGTTATGAGAGCATACCTCTTCTTTTGTCTTTTTAGACAGCACCCTCAGCCAGTCACCAATCATGTTCAGCACTGCAGCAAAGTAGGCAAGACCACCCAGGATCCAGAACCACACTAGTGGTCTATACCACTTCCGATACTCAATCCTACGGTCTCCCCCTGATTAGAAACCAAGACATGAATGAATGAAGCAATGTACATCAATTTGCAATTTTGCATCTCCATCTGAACATGTAAGAGAATGAAGCTCAGACAATGAGAAATTGTTATGTAGTCACAGTCAGTGATCATCTTTATCACAGGGGAAGTCATTGTCAGCCAACGCTCTGTTATGATTCTGCTTCAAAGGTCCAGTGTGTAACATTTAGGAGGATTTATTCATGGTAGGGGTGTGCATCTCTCCCTTCTAAGATGATCCAATACATATCCAGACATGGCCTTCGATACGATTCATGGACGATGTATTTTAATATGGAACAGTTTGGTGCGATTCGATGCAGTCGGATACAGCTCTTAACCTTTGTTTTGTTTATAGTCCAAATGCCTCCCAAACTTAAGATTTGATGGTGCACTGTAAATCGTATCGTCATTGTCAGACATGTTTGTTTGTGTACCGACGTTGTGACGTTACTCTCACTGCTCTAGTCGCACGACCGTCGCATTGGCCTTTTACCTTTCACAAGAGTGAAAGAGTTTTAGCAGCAAAGCTTCAGTCAACCGATATAACTTTAGAATCGGACCATTGACCAGTTCATGGTACATTTGAATCAATCCAGGGTTCAATCCACGCTTCAGTTGCATCTATAATGTTAAAACTGATTCGTATAAGTAAATTTTTTACACCCCCAATTCATAGGTATGTTTTCATTATTGTGTAATCACCTGAAAAAATAATTATTGTGTTTTGATTACATTAGAATGTGCTATCTACCTATAGAGGGAGGAGGTCCACTCCTACAGGGCCGCCAAACACTGCCATGTTATTACAGTAGTCCAGAGGGGACAAACCAAACACTGGCTCTAGATAGGACCTTTCACATTTTTTCACACATTTCACACCCAACATAGTTTCTCTGTTGTTCTTAGTCAAACAGTTTCAATTGGTAAATCCTACACACAGGTCCTTTAAAGATCTCTGTCAAGGATGGTTTGCAATCCCCATGGCAAGGTTCTACAGGGAATCCACTCATCACAATTCCATCAAAATTGCATCGATTACACTTAAAATTGTCGCTAACTGCTGTGAAAGAGTGGCACATTAATCAGTACGTTCTTAGTTCAGTAGACACTCATATTGTAATCAAAAGTACTTAAGATGTTTAGTCTTGTGTTTCCATTTCTTATTTATGCTGAATTTGTATTCTTATACTTCTGTTTGTTTTCTTATTTTCTTATAGAATAAAATGTGTTATAAAGATAAAATAGGCTAACTAAATTATGAACAAAAATAATGTGCAACTCTAATCATGGCCTAAATTTGATTAAACTTTTGACATGTTGTGATGTATTTAATAGAGAATAATAATACGTAAGATACTTTCATTTATGAATATATTGACTATGAACGACAAGCTCTTACCTGCCACATAGTCACCTATTCCAACTGTTGTCAGAGTGATGACGACAAAATATGTTGACTCCAGAGCTGTCCAGCCCTCAATATGTTTGAAGATCACCGCTGGGATGGTGACAAACAAGATGCACCCAGCCAGGATGAAGAGGAGGGTGGAGGCCACACGGATCTTAGTCTGACTGATCTGATTGTGTTTATTCTGTGAGACATAAGTCACACACACACACACACACACACACACACAGTATAAGTTGTGTAAAACCTAATAATAATACCTGTCTCGTTTTCAGTAGGGTTCTGTTTGGACTCCTTGGTGGAAATCATCACAGTCGCATCAGCATAACCACTGATTATGATGAGAAGAGAATACAATGTTCACTGTAAATGGCATTAGTACACTGGTTCTGAAACTATGGTGTAGTGTACCACTGGTGGTACATGTACATGAGACTCAAAACCACCTCAAGGACCTTGAAATCCTCTGCCACATTCTTAGCACAAAAGATTATCACATACTTATACTCATATATTATGCCCAGGCAGTAACAGAGTAATATAACACGTTACTAACTATATTTTGGTAATATTATTACAGTTACTGAGTCCGGTAATGTGTTACAATCCGAGCTGTCGCACAGCCGGAGGTTTCGAAAAAACAACCCAGGAGCAAAAGCCATAAATAAAGAGGAGAAGAAAACGGTTTTAAATCAACAGAAGAAGAAGAAGACGATTTGGTTTGGAGATGGCAAGAAGGCAACAACAACAACTGATAATTCAACATTTTCTAAGTGGTTATACTGGCACTATTTTGAATTTGTCACAGTAATGGATAAGAACCTCACAGTAAGGTGCACTTTATGTGCTGGTGGGAGGCCGAGGGAACTGTCTACGGCTAAAAATAGTACAAGTAACCTCAAGAAACACCTGGAGAGAGTACACAGCAACCTTAAGCTAGCGGCTAAACGACCTCTTGGCAGCAGACAGGTGGAAGATGGCGGCGCGAGCAAATCTAAACAAGAAAGTTGGATTTCTCCAGACCAGAGGTGAAGATGCTTGACCCAGGAGAAGTGAGAAGGCTGGTGGCTGGATGGTATATGGACCTGTACTTGTATAGCGCCTTTCTAGTCTTCCGACCACTCAAAGCGCTTTTACACTACCCTTTCACACACATTCACTCAGCGATGGCAAAGTCCATCGAACAGAAAGTAACTCATTTATACACATTCACACACCGATACTGTGCATCAGGAGCAATTTGGGGTTCAGTATCTTGCTCAAGGATACTTTGACGCATGGCAGGAGGAGCCGGGGATCGAACCAACAACCTTCCGATTAGGGGACAACCCGCTCTGCCTCTGAGCCATAGCCGCTGCCTCTTTCTACAGTTGAGTCGCCGGCATTTCAAAAGCTTGTCAGCAAAATCCCTGTTCATTAAAATGGTAAAAACAAATCTCTAATGAGATAGACCTATTGTTAAGGTATAAATACATTTCCACAGATAGTTAATTTAAGATGAGACACTACAGGTGGTGTGAGAGGTGATTCAATGATTAAATAAAGCTGCAAGCAACGTTGAGCGGGACCTCACACTCCACGCAACTCGGGTGTGCTGCGGCCGCGTCGTGTGTCATCGTAACACGTGCGGGCCACAACATGAAAATGTCACATAAATCAGCTCAAAATCGCCACGCAGTGCTTACTTCCTGTTACCAGTAGGTGGCGCTATCACTATGTCTGAATGTTTTCATGTAGACATGTTCAGGGTGAGACGGTTATCAAACACGTGAAGTTTCATTGAGATTGGAAGTTTATTGGAGTTTGTACATTGCACACTGAAGTTATGAGCACTATTTTATGGCGAATCTGCTGAAATTCAACAAGTTGTCACTGGCACACGGTTTGATGTAAAGTCACAAATAGCGCAATTTTATAACATGCTTATTTTGTGAAATATCAAAATTCTTTGAATTTGTCTTTCATAAGGACGGTCCCCAGATGCTACGTTAAATTTTTTGTGCGAAGCGGGTAAACCGCATGGGGGGAACGCGGAAAAAGTAGCTTATGGACATTTCGCGCTCTAGCGGAGAAAAATTATAGGCGGAAGTGGGGGCGTGGCCTATATGGGGAGATTCAGCTCTATTCACCGAACGTGTGGATACAAGGTTTTTGAATGTGCGACAAACTATGCAGAAGTTATTAGCCTAAATGCATTTCTTATGATAGTAGCGCCACCTAGTGGCCAATCTGAAAGCGACGCATAGAATATCCCCATTTTCACCAGGCCTGACAACTTTGCCAAATAAAATTGAGTTTTCGTACATCTTCAGGGGGGCAAAAATGCAGTCAAAGGGGGCTAAAAATAATAATAGGTAAGAAGAAGAAGAAACATAGCAAATACAATAGGGACCTCCAGCGGTCGCTGGCTCGGTCCCTAATAAGAATCCTTACAATCACAATAGGGCCTTCGCAGTCAGTGCTCGGGCCCTAATTAAAGTTTCTTATTGCTGCTTTAATTTGAAAACGGGATTGGTTACATTGTACGCCAAAGGTAGTGGAATTACATTAATGCATTACTTATAACTTCCAACACTGGTAGGATTGCAGAAGGAATGTCTATATATATATGCAGTCCTGCAGAACTTTTTGATCAAGGTTTTTTTATTAGAATTTTCAAATAGTAAACAACACCCAAAAGGGGCATAACAGACAAAAAAACAACAACATACAAACAAACAAACAAACCCTAACAGAGAAATAAAATTACAGATAATAGTTACATTGCAATGTTGTCAGCATCCATAGGTTGCCAAATTCTGTAAAATGTCTTAGTCGCTCCCCTGACAGTATATATAATCTTTTCTAATTTAAGATGGCACATGACTACCCTGACTCAATGACCATACATCGTGAAATAGGATCTTTCCATTTAAACAATATAAATCTCCAGGCCAGGAGAGTGCAGAAGGTCAACATGCTGATTTCACACCATTTAAAAGGGGTATCCTCTGGGGTCACCCCAAACAGTGCAATAAGAGGAGACAGTCGCACTACTCTTCGTAATATCTTAGTAAAGGTCCTTAAAGGAGCATTTCACCCCTGGAAACATTAATATTTATTGAAAGTGGGTTATATATGTAGTCGAAATGTAACATATATTTTGAATTTGGTGGCTATTTGACTGAGAAAAGACAGAAAGTGACTTTAGGGCGCATTTGTATAAAAGACAACAACTCCCACAATGCACAGCTCCGCAAGCCGCTCCCACTAACACTATCAAGGACTACAACAACGTGAATGTAAACCATTTATTTACAGAAATATATCAACAACAACAAAAATAAATATGTTAACATTGACAGTTATAGTTCCTCCTGAGCGTCCTCAACTTCCCGCAGTACTGGCCATCTGGAGCTGGATATTTCTGTCGGATAGCCTGCACCACATCAGCGGGTAAAACGACACGATGGCCTCGACCCAATCTCTGGCCTTGCAGGACCCATTCCAAAAAGGTTGTTAGGCGATATTGTCTACAAGACATTGAGCACACAGTTAGCGATGCATGGTCTTTGTGTTTAGTGTGCCACAGTTAGCAATGCAACTGCAGGCTGTTTGTGCAGTAAAGAAGCTAATGTTAGTTCAGTTGGCTGACGTTACGTATTAACCGGGAATAACTTTGTGATAATGCTTGAACAAATTGTGTACATACATGCCACGTTGTTATAAGACAGAAAATAGAAACACTCACTTTACAGTCAGACGTCCGTGTGTCCGTAGGCGCACAGCTCGAGCCAGTCCGGGCTCCTCGTCCGCGACAGGCAGGCCCTTGCCTCGGTGGCAGAAGCCTCAGCCGCCTCCTGTTCAGCCTCAGCTGCCCGTCGCTATATTGCGGCTCATAAAGGTAGCCACGAACACCTGATTCGACCATCATACTTTCTAAATTTCTTCCATATTACATTGATTACCATAGTCGTAACGCCTGGCTCGTCAGTGCCTCGGCTTAGCTTCCAAACAAGATGGCGGTTATATTTTTAGTTTCTGCAAGTGAAGTCCCACCCACTGATCTGTAATAGGTCTGTAGCGTGAGTGAAAAAAAAATGAGGAAGTAGTGTTTGTAGTCACCCCCTCTACAGAGATATGAGACTTCCTGTTTCCAATGACGCAAAATGACGATTTCTACATCATTGGAAGCAGGAAGTGCAACACTAAAATCCTTATTTCTCCCCTCTCAGGGGAAGTGAGGGAATGATACACGACCATTCAAAAATATGACTGGGGTTCTAATGATACAAAGCTTAATGCAAATGGGTGAAGTGTCCCTTTAATATAGATTGCCAAAATGTGTACAGCTTCGGGCATGTCCAAAACATGTGCAACAGAGTAGCTGGAGCCTGTCTGCATCGATCACATGTTGGATCTATGTTGGAATGATCTTAGAAAGTCTAACTTTGGACCAATGCAGGCGGTGAACAATTTTAAATTGGACAACTGCATGTCTGAGACATATAGAGGAGGAGAAAATTCTTTGGATTACTTTGCGGCAATTATCATCTGAAACTGATTCTCCTAAGTCCGTCTCCCATTTATTCTTAAGGAGCTCTAAAGGCGTCAAATCATGCATGCTAAGTAAATCATAAATAACTTTTGTTTATTGTCTGCTTCCTGGCCTAAGAGAGAAAGATCTTGATTGATTCCGAATTTTCATTGAGTGTACAACAACTGGATTAGAGGTAAAGCTAGACAGAGGTTGTGTGAATGGTAATTTAGCGCACAGTAGGGCAGTCAGGCAGGTGGACCCAATGGGCGCCCCTTCTATAATTGTCCCTCCGGGGGCTGTAGCACCTTCCCTCATCCAGTACAGCAGCGATCTTACATTAGCCGCCCAATAGTAGTACATAAAGTTTGGGAGTGCTATCCCTCCCTTTGCACGAGGTCTCTGTAATATATGTCTTTTGATCCGTGGTGGCTTTTTGTTCCAAATGAAGGCTGATATCTGATTATTTAGTTTTGAAAAAAATTATTTTGTGAGACACTGGAAAACATAAAAATTTAGGCAGCACATTCATCTTTATAGTATTGATTCTGCCCCCCAGGGAGAGGGGCAGGGGGTCTCACCGCTCAATATCTTGCTTCAGATTAGATAAGAGGCTCAAATTAGCTAAATAGAAATCTTTCTGACTGTATGTAACCCAAAGATACTTG